CTCTCTCTCTCTCCCTTCCTCTCAGATCATGACCAACACCCCAAAAGCACGGAAGAAGACCCTGCCCAGCGTCCGTCACAGCGTGGACGAGCCTCTTCAGAGACCCGTGACCCCCAGCTATCACAGGGCACATTACCCAACGTAAGTCCGGGCAGACCCTCCAAAATCTGGAGATGGGATGCTTCCGATTCACACGAACATTATTCAGAGAGGAAAAGATAACTGATGAAATAAAGCAGAGATGACTCAGCGCTTATTGTGGTTTTTTTTAAAAAAAAGAATGTTCCTTTAGAACAGGGGTCTTCAAACTTGGCCCTTTTATGACTTGTGGACTTCAACTCCCAGAATTCCTCAGCCAGGCACGCCTGGCTGAGGAATTTTGAGAATTGAAGTCCACAAGTCATGAAGGGGCCATAGTTCCCCCACGCTGGCTCAGGAATTCTGGGAGTTGAAGTCTACGAGTCATGAAGGGGCCATAATTCCCCCATGCTCGCTGAGGAATTCTGGGAGTTGAAGTCCGCAAGTCATGAAGGCGCCACGTTTGAAGACCCCTGTGTTAGAAAAATGGGTTCCAGAAAGAACATGACGTACAGGTAGTCCTCGATTTAATGACCACAGTTGACTTCAGAATTTCTGTTGCCAAGCGAGAAAATTTGTTTAAGTGAGTTTTGACCCATTTTACGCCCTGTCTTGCCACCGTCCTTAAGCGAATCACTGCAGTTGTTAAGTCAGTCACACGGGAGTTAAGTGAATCTGGCTTCCCCCCCTATTGACTTTCCTTGTCTGAAGGTCGCAAAAAGGGGATTGTGTGACCCCAGGACACTGCGACCGTCGTAAATATGAGTCAATGGCCAAGCATCTGAATTTGAATCACATAACCACGGGGAGGCTGCAACGGTCATTAAGTGTGAAAGACGGTCATAAGTCACTGTTCACAGAAAAAAAAGTAAAGCGATCCAATAATAAAGGATATCCCTTGTTGTCACCTTTTTTCTGTGAACAGTTGCAAAGTATGGGGGATATTAAATTTTGTGGGTGTCACATCACTCTGAACACAAGACTTTGGGCCAATCACCAGGAGACGGTGAGTTCTAGTCCTGCCTTAGGCGTGAAAGCTGACTGGCTGACTTTGGGCCAATCACCAGGAGATGGTGAGTTCTAGTTCTGCCTTAGGCAGCAAAGGCAGCTGCGTGACTTTGGGCTAATCACCAGGAGACGGTGAGTTCTAGTTCTGCTTTAAGCACGAAAGCTGACTGGGTGACTGGGTCCATTTTTGGCTGTGGGCTGTTTTGCTAGTTTCCCACCTCTGGGTGTGAGATCTTTTTCCCTTTGGTTTTGTAACGGAGGGAACCAAACCGAACCAGCTCAATTGACACCCAGCCAAAATAAACAAATTAAGAGCGATTGAGATCCAGAATTTATAGATCGAGAGGCGATACACCCTACCCTGTTCCATGAAAGCTCAAGAGCTGACGAATCCGAGATCTCCAGAGAGAGATACCGTAATCCACCTGCTTTTCAAGCCTCAAAAACTGCTGCCAATATTTTATTTTATTTTTACTTTTATTGCTGTATTGTTGCTGTTTTGAAGGAACCAGCCTGTTTCCAAGGCTTTCTAAGGCCTCCTTCCCTGCTCTGTTATTTTCATAGTTGGGGAGCCTCTGGGCCGGGATAGGCTGAAAAGGTAGGCAGGTCTTAGGAAGGCTTCGTTTTCTGGCCTCACCTTGTAGCTTTTGTCTTGGGATCCCATTTGCAGGATCCATAGAACTGCGTGGAAGGGGGAGCAGCGCTGAAGAGTCGGCTTCTGTACCGGTTCAGATACTGGCCTGGAGACGAGGAGACTGGGAGTTCTAGTCCCGCCTTAGGCGTGAAAAGCAACCATGTGACTTGGGGCCAATCACCAGGAGACTGGGAGTTCTAGTCTCGCTTTAGGCATAAAAACCAACCATGTGACTTTGGGCCAATCACCAGGAGACCGGGACTTCTAGTCCTGCTTTAGGCATGAAAAGCAACCATGTGACTTTGTACCAATCACCAGGAGACTGGGAGTTGTAGTCCTGCCTTAGGCGTGAAAAATAACCCTGTGACTTTGGGCCAATCACCAGGAGACTGGGAGTTCTAGTCTTTATCTTAGGTAGGAAAACTGGCTGGGTGACTATAGGCCACTCACCAAGGGATTGGGAGTTCTAGTACTGCCTTAGGCATGAAAACCAACCATGTGACTTTGGGCCAATCACCAGGAGACTGCGGAGTTCTAGTCTTTATTTTAGGATTGAAAACTGGCTGGGTGACTATGGGCCAGTCACCAAAGGATTGGGAGTTCTAGTCCTGCCTTAAGCCTGAAAACCAACCCTGTGACTTTAGGCCAATCACCAGGAGACTGGGAGTTCTAGTCCTGCTTTAGGCATGAAAGCCAACTGCGTAACTCTGGGCCAGTTCCTCTCCCTTCCACCTCACAGGATTGTTGTTTTGGGGAAATTAGGAGCAGGAAGGAGAATTACGTATGTTTGTAAACCAGAGTTAGTTATTGAAATAATGAAGGTGAGACATAGATAAATAAAACAATAAATAAATCACCAGGAGTTGGTGAGCTCTTGTCTCGTGGGTGGCGTGAAAGCCGGCTGGGGGATTTTGGGCCTATCACTAGGAAACTGGGAATTTCTTTACCCCAGCTATAGAGGGGAAAAAAATAATAAAATGGAAGGCACTTTCTATTTGCCAGCTCCAACAAAAAAAATATGTGTTGGTGGAAACCATATCCAATATACTAAACATGGAAAAAGCAATTTATTTATTCAGTCTTGCATACAGAAAAAAGAACATTGATAAATTTGCTTTAAAAGAACCCACCCGAGTGCACACGCGTCCTTATATATCTGGAAGGCAACCATTTCTATCTTTAAATTAAAACCAGTGGTTTAATGGCATTTAGGTAGTATAGGGGAGCAACTGAAAATAGAATCCTAAGTTACCAAGCGCACGCAGACAGAAAGGATGAGATTCAATTTTTCAATAATCTTACTAGGAAGATATACCCTTAAATGCAGGCTCATATTTTAATGTTCTCGGTTTACCCAAATAGATGCATTTTTATTTTTATTTTTATTTTTGGGGGAGAGCTGAGGTCCAGTTCATAAACCGAAAGAACATTTGGAACACGGCTGGATTTCCTGACTGAGCGGCATTTTCCAAGCAAAGAGAAATTGCAATTTCCTTTTCAGCTGGGTTTGCAAAAAAAAAAAACCTCGCCCTGAGCTAGGGACGGTCTCGCTTTTTAAATTGCATGCGTTGCTTTATTTCTTGGTTCCCATTTCCAGAGTGTCAGCTGGGAACCAGAAGGATATGTTTGCAGAGGCTCATTTCATATCTCCAGGGATCCCTGCTCTAGAGAAGCCTTCGGACCTCTGTAGAATTTGCGTTGTGGGTGTGTCAGGATTGGTTAATACAGCTTAATATCCACAGCTTAATAGCTAAACCAGCTTAATATCTACGTCAGTGTTCCTTAACTTTATCAGTTTTAAGATAAGTGGCCGTCTCCCGCAAGTTAGGCCCCAAGCACACCAGCCAGCCACTCACGATGCCCGTTTGCGAACAGGTCACTGACCTGTAGTCAGCTGCAGCCCACAGGTTGAGGACCCCTGTCCTAGCGCCCGAAGGCAGGACAAGAAGCAAGGGATGGAAACTCACCAAGGAGAGAAGCAACCTAGAACTAAAGAGAAAATTCCTGACAGTGAGAACAATTAGCCAGTGGAACAACCTGCCTCCAGAAGCTGTGAATGCTCCAACACTGGAGGTTTTTAAGAAGAGACTGGACAGCCATTTGTCTGAAATGGTCTAGGGCAGGGGTAGGCAACCTTGGCTCTTTTATGACTCATGGACTTCAACTCCCAGAATTCCTGAGCCAGCATGGGGGAACTATGGCCCCTTCATGACTCGCGGACTTCAACTCCCAGAATTCCTCAGCCAGCATGGGAGAACTATGGCCCCTTCATGACTCGCGGACTTCAACTCCCAGAATTCCTGAGCCAGCATGGGGAACTATGGCCCCTTCATGACTCGCGGACTTCAACTCCCAGAATTCCTGAGCCAGCATGGGGGAACTATGGCCCCTTCATGACTCGTGGACTTCAACTCCCAGAATTCCTCAGCCAGCATGGGAGAACTATGGCCCCTTCATGACTCGTGGACTTCAACTCCCAGAATTCCT